GCCCCTGGGTACTCCCTGGCACCAGAGACCCTGAACAGCACCACATCCCAGGGCTCTTGCACTGAACCCCTGTTAGGTTGGCTAAGAATTCCTAGTGGAGTGGGAGGGAGCAGAGTGATGGTACAAAGGGTAAAGCTTTTGTCTTGCATATGATGGACCAGAGTTCAACCCTCGGCATCCCATAAGGTCCCCTAAGCACCACCAGGAGTGATTCCTGAGTATAGAGCCAAGAATAACCCCTGAGCATTGCCAGCTGTGCTCTCCTCCCATCCCTCTAAAACAATGAAAAGAAAAAAGTCCCCACTGAAGCTCCTAGGTGTCCTGAGTATACTTGGGAGACTCCCAAAATGATGTTGAAGAAAGCAGCCTCAGTTTCCCCTTGCTAGTGAGAGAGGAAGCCACAGTTTTCTCTTGCCAGATGCTTCATCTCTCCTCCATCACCTAGCACATACTTCATCCCCAAGGTCCTGTCTTAACATTCCAGGAATTCCCCAGGACCATAAAATTCTGCCCTGGAGTTTAGGCTCAGAGGGATGAGGCAAATGGCTAGAAAGACCAGGAACTTCCTTACATCCTCTGTCACTGTCACTGTCACTGTCACTGTCCTCCCGTTGTTCATTGATTTGCTCGAGCCCGCCCAGTAACATCTCCATTCTGACACTTGTTACTGTGTTTGGCATATCAAATAAGTCACGAATAGCTTGCCAGGCTTTGCCATGCGGGCGAGATACTCTCGGTAGCTTGCTGGACTCTCCAAGAGGGGCGGAGGAATTGAACCAGGGTCGGCAGAGTCAGCGACGTGCAAGGCAAACACCCTACTTGCTGTGTCAATTGATAAGAAGTGTAAAGATCTCAGTTTCCACCTAAAAGGGTTTACAGGAAGAATCGTTAACTGTAACTCCCTTGCATCCTCTGTAAATCTTTGTCAATTGCTAGAAATTGGATTGATCAGAGAGCCTTGAAAAGGGCTTACATCCTTTCCTTTAACTTAATTCTATACTAAGTTCCTCCCCACTTGGGGAGCTCCTTTACTTTCTTTCTTTTTTTGTCTTCTAAAAATTTAAAAAAATTTTTTTGCAAGTTGTTCACAATAATTGTTTACATTCAATATTTCAATACCAATCCCACCACCGTTGCACTTTCCCACGACCATTACTTTGAATCTTCCCACCACCACCCCAGCCTGCCCCTTAGGCAGATGCTAAATAATTTATTTTGTATTGCTTGCCATGAATATTATGAGGTGTCATGCAGCATGAAAATGGCCACATGCTCCTGGAATTCTAAAATTTTTAAATATTTGGGGTCTGGAGGCATCTCTGTGGTGTGCTGCTGTCTTTCGAGATTCATTTGTGCGTCTCTGAATGGCCATTAATGCATTTAAATGACCAGCTTTTGATCTCTTTTGAGGTTTGTTTATGGGTCTCTGAAGCAAATCTGATGATAAATGAGCTTGTATAGCTGAGTTGGAGGTGGTTTGTGGGCGTGACTCCCACATACCTAACTTTTGGTCATTTAGTTTCTCAGAAAACTTGGTCCCAAGTTGTTGGGGTTCAGCCAGTAGCACAGTGGCAATTTTGGGATCTCAACAAGCCTGAAAGCACCATCAGGCTGCTGATGCACTTGTCCCACAGGTACAGGTTGACCTGATGGATGGCGCTATATCCCCGCTCCTTTTCTTTCTCTTCTACTTTCCGATAAACTTTTCTACTTTCTAACTCTGAGTCTCAGCATCTTTATTATTCAATCTCACTGTAGCACTGTAGCACTGTCCTCCTGTTGTTCATCAATTTGCTTGAGCAGGCACCAGTAACATCTCCGTTGTGAGACTTGTTGTTACTATTTTTGGCATATTGAATACGCCACAGGGAGCTTGCCAGGCTCTGCCATGTGGGCGGGATACTCTCAGTAGCTTTCCGGGCTCTCTGAGAGGGACGGAGGAATCGAACCCGAGTAGGCCGCGTGCAAGGCAAACACCCTACCCACTCCAGCCCTGTATTCAATATATTCAATATTTTCATTCTTGAAAGGAAAGAATTAAAATATTATAGAACCTGCGAATCGCGAACAGAGAACAGCATGACCTCTTCTGCCTCAGCTGCATCAATATCAAACAAAAGAGAACAAAACATCAGTTTTCTCATCCTGGCCTTCTCCAGTCAGTCTTCAAGTGTCCATCAGCTGATTTACAACTAAGTTTTGAATAGATGTGAGGGTGGTGATGGTGGCGTTTGTCTCCTTTACTGTAATGGAAGCTATTACAATATAAGAATGTAAGTTTTTTTTCCCCCTTATTCATCATCTAGCCCTAAGGTCCAGTACCTGGTATACTAGCTGCTCAAAAAATATCACTAACTGGGGTATGGTGCCGCCAGCAGGTCAATCTGTACCTGTGAGGCAAGTGCATCAGCAGTCTGATGGTGCCTTCAGACTTCTAGATACTCCAAAATTGCTGCTGTGCCTTTGGCCAGACCCCGACAACATGGGGCCAAGTTTACCAAGAAAGTAAACGGCGAAAAGCTAGGTATGTGGGAGACACATCCACAAACCAACTTCTGTTCAGCTATATAATTGGAGGCAAGGCCTTTCTGGTTCCTGATCAAATTGCTTAATGGCCATGATCCCAGAGACTCAGAAACAAATCTCGGAACCCAGCAGCTTTTTGCAGAAATGCGTCTAGTCCCTACAGTAGGTTACTGGAGCCGGGCCACCCCAGGGGGGAAAGGGTGCTGTTCCTCTGCCTGCTTCCCCTTGGCAGCTCAGTGGCTGCCATCCTCCAGAGGCCATTGGACAGTCAAGTTTGGGCCTGCAGTGATGAGACATGTGGAGCCTCACGGGATGGGGGTGGAGCTGGTTCTTTCCTCCCCACCACAATGAGACCCCGGGTTGCTGCCCACGAACGGCCACTCTGGCTCCTAATCAAGCTGCTTAATGGCCATGATCCCAGAGACTCAGAAACAAATCTCGGAACCCAGCGGCTTTTGGCAGAAATGGGTCTAGTTCCCGCAGTAGATTACTGGCACCAGGCCACCCCAGATGGGAATAGGTTTTTCCTTGGCCTGTTCCCCCTCACGACTTGGTGGCCGCCATCCTCCATAGGCCATTGGACAGTCAGGTTTGGGCCCACAATGATGAGACATGCGGGGCCTCACGGGATGGGGGTGGAGCTGGCCCTTTCCTCCCTGTCCCAACAAGACCAGAGTCGCAGACCACAAATGGCCTCTCTGGCTCCTGATCATGCTGCTTAATGGCTATGATCCCAGAGACTCAGGAACAAGTCTCAAAAATCAAGTTTTGGCAGATATCCCTCCAGATTTAATTCTTAAAATTTTGGAATTCCAAAATTGAGGCCACTTGATATCATATGTTATTCATAATCAGCAGTAGAAAACAAATTATCTACGGTTGCCTTTTCAGCATATCTGAGTGATGGGGTAAAATCCCAAATAATAATGGTGGGTCTGGTGTCGAAATAGTGAATGTGATCAGAGTAGAGAGAGAGTAATGTGGAAGTCATCTGCCCCACAGGTAGGGGGAGGGTGTGGGATGAGGGGTATACTGGGGTTTTTGGTAGTGGAAAATGGGCACTGGTGAAGGGACAGGTGTTTCATCATTCTTTGAAAGAGACTTAAACCAGAAAACTTTGGGACTGGAGTGATAGTACAGCGGGTAGGGCATTTGCCTTGCACGCGGCTGACCCAGGTTCGATCCCCGGCATCCCATATGGTCCCCCAAGCACTGCCAGGAGTAATTCCTGAGTGCATGAGCCAGGAGTAACTCCTGAGCATTGCTGGGTGTGACCCAAAAAAGCAAAAAAATAAAAAAAATAATAAACCAGGAAGCTTTGTAACTGCTCTCACGGTGATTCAATAAATAAACATATATATATATATAAAAAGTAAGGTGGAGTTCATGCCCAATTCAATCAGCCTAATCAATGGCTGAATAAATAGCAATACTCCTACATTTAAAAAAATCACTGTTTGACTTTGATGTAGTTTGAACATAAACCTTTAGATGATCTTTGTTTTTTATGTTAATTGTCTTTTATTTTGGGGTGGTTGGCAATTGTTGGTCCACAGGGGTAATTTTCCAGGGATTTTTCTGTCTCTGGTCACTAGTGAGCCTTAGCAGTCCTCTGGAGGGCATATATGGTGCCAGGAGTCCAACCCGATGGGTACCTTGAAGGGAAACCCTTTACCTATTTGCACTGTCTCTTGGGCCCTACTTGTCTCTTCTTCTAGATTAAACCCCTCCCACCCCCAATTCATCTGATGAAAAAATATCTTTGCTGCTTTGTTCATTTCAGTATCTCTAGAATATAGAATAGGGATACAGTAATAGGGTAATCAGAAGTAAGCAAGAGGACCACGTGGTAGACGAATGGAATACATGCATACAGCATGTCCTTCACCCTTTGGGAGACACCTCCAGCCGAAGCAGTTCTGCACGTATAGTAAGGGTGAAGTTATTAGACGAATGAATAAGTTAAATGAATGTTTGTAAGTGAACGGATGAGTAAGGCGAGTATTCCATTTTCCAAGATCGAGCGTGGAAGGAACAATGGCTATAATTAGCCGGAGATTGTGAAATCTTCGAGGAAATCGAGGTCAGAAAGGGCAAGCAAGGCTCTGCTATCAAGTCAGGAGTGTTGAGGCTAATTTAGATTCCGGACTTTGAGATGAAAAACTCTTGCCACTCCCGTCAGGAGGTCTCACGGGACCATCTCAGAGTACAACATTAATTTCACATACGGCAAAGCTCTACGGCTGTAAGCGTCAAGACTCGCTGATTAACTACTGATCGTCACAGTTTCTAGAAATACCCTCCGATGGAGGCAACCGTGGCAGCCCGGCCCCCCGAGCGCCCGCCGTGGGGATGGACTACATCTCCCAGAATGCACCTCCGGGAAAGGCGGGCGGTAGCGGCTATAGGTGGACTACAACTCCCGACAGGCTTCACGCCGGCGCGGCCGGAACGCCCCAGCCTGCCGGGGCCAGGGCCTATCAGGGCGGGGCGGGCTGGTTCGGGGGCCGGAGCCGGTTTGACCGAGGCGGCGGCGGCGGCGGCGGCGGGGGAGGAGGAGGATGGAGGCCGTGGTGTTCATCTTCTCTCTCATCGACTGCTGCGTGCTCATCTTCCTCTCCGTGTACTTCGTATCCTCCCTGGGGCGGGCGGAGCCGGCCGGGGCCCGGCGGTCGGGGCCAGGGCGGCGGTCGGGCCGGGGCGGGGACCTGGGCAGGTGCGTGGGAACCCGGAGGCGGCGGCCTGAGGGGCGCGCCCGGGCTCCGAGCCGGCCGGCCCTGCGGGGCGAGGCCGTGCTGGGAGTCGTGGGCAGCGTTGGCCCGAGGCGGGCATCGGCGGAGGCGACTGGGGCGCCCCTGGCCCCGTGCCCGCCCCGGGGTGCTGGCGGGGGCTGCTCCTCGTGGGTCCGCGGCGCGGGCTGGGGAGGGACCGTCGGCGAGGATGTCGCTGTGCCAACCTTTGGCCGGCGACTCCCCGGCTGGCCCCTGCGCCGTTTGCGGACCCGCAGTTCCGGACCAGTTGCACAACTTTGCAACTTCTTCGGCCGGGTCCCTGGCGCACTGTTTCCTAGCGCCCAAGGAACCCGGGTGGGCCAGGATTCAATCCTACCGAAAACAGAACAACCCCCCCCCCCAAGATGTGGGGGGCGAGGTGCTGCTCCCCGGGGATCCAGCCGAGGTTTTGAGTTTTTTTGTCCCCTGCCTCTGAAGCTACTCGGCTTAGTTGCCCGCCGCCCATGCGCTGCACGATGCTGTTCTGAGTCATTAAATATTAGATGGGAAAAACACACGGGAAACACAGCCCCCTTTCCCCCGTGGAAGTGACTTCTGTCCCAAGAGTTGGGTGCAAACTCCTGGCTGGAGCATCCTTGCTTTAGAATGGTCGAGTCTAGAGCAGCAGTTCTCGGGCACACAGCCCATTGGGGGTCCCCAGGATATTCCGAGGAAGCCACAGGTGAAAATCTTAAGTGGGTGCGGGACGGGGTGGGGGGGGGACACAGACCAAGACTAAGAGTACAAGCAGTAGAACGGGGACCACTTGGAAACAACGGTTGAAACTGGTGGAGGTTATGTTTTCAGGGTGGCTGCGGACTTCGTTATGAATGGTAGTCTGTTGTGAAAAGGGACACATTTTTTGAGGGGGGAGGTGCACCTGGCTGTGCTCAGGTGTCACTCCTGGCCAGTCTGGGGTGGGGACCATGATAGGTGTCAGGGATGGAATCCACATTTGCGCAGGGCAAGTGCCCTCCCTGCCTGCCGTACTATCTCTTCAGCCTCAAGGGGCACAATTTGTAATCTGGAGTCCTTGTAGCTGGTGATTTACCATTTACCACGCTTACGCTTGGCCAAGCCTCTATTGTCTTGCCTTGAAACTGGGGCCAGGAGCCAGAGAGCGCATGGTGCAGGGCTCAGGAGCCTTGCCTTGCAGGCTATCAACCCATGTGGGGCCCCCAAATTTGAACAAAAAAAAAAAGAAAAATTTACTTCCCAATGAAGTGTATAATATGAGTGTTAAGCCTGCCCTATAGCAGAGGGTCAGTCACCTCAAATGGGGTAGCCATTTTCATTTTAACTCAGAACCCTGAATTTTTTGTAGATTTGGTGACCTGAAAGCTGTGTCACTTGTTGAGGTTTTTGACGAACTGTGAACCTTGGTGATACAAGGAACTAGAGTTTAGAGAAACTGAGATTTCTCATTTATTTTTTGCAATTTGGGAAACTAGGATTAATGACTTAAAACAGACCTGGTTTATACCAGCTCATGGACATAATTTTTTAAAAAAGGCTTCAATACAGAATGTATTGGGCAGGGCACTTTCTTGCATAAGGTTCAGTTCTAGGCATCTATTATGGTCCTCCAAGCCCAATAGGAGTGACCCCATAGGACAGAGTCAGGTAAGCTCTGAGCACTGCCAGGTGTGCCTCCCTTCCCCACAAATATCAGTATTATTGACATAGACTTGAAGGTACATTTAGGGTTATGCTTTATGAAATCCAGCACTTGTGTATAGCATTCTTTGGATAGTTGTCCTAGCTTAGTGTTAGAGCTAGGGGATGGGAAGTGTCAGGGTAGAGATTTGGTGTGAATAGACTTTTCCTGGCTTTGAACTGTGGGCAGAACCTGCACAGAAGGAGGAGGTGGTGCTAAAATGAGAGAGACCCAGGCAAGAGAAAAGGTATCAAGGCAGACATGTTTGTGCCATTTCTGCATAATGGGTTAAGGGATAATCCATCTGGAAGACTCGGTCGGATTTTGGAAGATTTGAATATTGAGGAGGGGAGGATTTTTGCTTTTGCGCTTCAGAGTCCTTTGAGCAATAGAAAATTTATACATAGTGAGCTGCTTGGAAGGTAACTGTAGATTGAGTTAGAAACACAGATTAGAAGGTTTATGTTTATTGAGGAAATAGATGTGTAATGTGAAAAGTTAGGAAACAATAGTATTAAAAAAAGCTTTTAAGACAAGCTATATTCATAGTTTTGTATTTTGTTTTCTTTCAGAGACATTTTATGGACATAAAATATTTTTAACACTTATTTTGGTTTTATAGGTCTTGTGTTTTGTTGTTTACACCCAGTACTTGACAGTGAAGAACTCAGACTGATGTTTCTGATAATGGATCAGATTAGGATTTAGCTTAAAGATTTGTTTTACTAAGCATTTGGTGGGGAAACATAAATGAGAAAAATGAGTTGTCAAATGAGCAAGCTTTAATGTTACAGCTTGATTTTTTTTCAAGTCAGATCACTGCTTTGTCACTGGTTTTGCTTTCTTCTGTTTTAAAAAATGTATTTGTTGTTGGAGTTTTTGAGGCCATGCTGTGCTGGGAATTAAAACCAGGATTTCATTCTTGTGAGATATGTGCTGTGTTGTTTGAGCTGCCTTTTGGACCCTGTGATTGCTTTATGAAGCTTAAGAACAGTTGTTAAAAAGAAATTTGGGGCTGGAGAGATAGTATAGCTGGTAAGGTGCTTGCCCTGCACGCACCCGACCTAGGTTGGCTTCCTGGCACATCTGGTTCCCTGAGCTCCAGCAGGAGTGATCCCTGAGCACAGAACCAGGAATAAATCCTGGGCATAACTGGGTGTGGTCCAACCCTCTGCTTCTCATTCCTCCCCCCCCAAAAAAAAGAAATTTAATAATTCCTTATCTTGACCCTCAGATAATTACTTTGTCTGATTTGGAATGTGATTACATCAATGCTAGATCATGTTGTTCCAAATTAAACAAGGTAAGACTTCTTTTGCTTATTTTCTATTCTTTAAGGAGGTTCTTCATTTTTTGTGTCAAAGATTTATCTCATGAATATTTGCTTTTAGAATATTGTCTTTTATTCATTGCACTGTTAGTTGAAGTGCTGTGTTTGCAATATTTTAGATGATGAAAGTATGCCAGAAGTCCCACCTTAATTTTTTTCCTCCACTCTGCTTCTTCCTTGTCTCTTTGTCTACAGTGGACAATATCATTACTCAAGCTAGGCAATAGTTCATTATGAGGATACTTCCTTTTGTCTTCTGTGTCTAAGCCCCCCCTTCTCAAGAAAAAAAAAAAGGCCTAGTTTGTTGAATGAATGAATTCGTTCTTTTCATGAATGAATGAATTTGTTCTTTTCATGACTTTCTGAGAAATGGAATTAATTAGTTGATTTGTTTTAAGACCATCTTATCTTTAGTGCATAAAGAGAACATTATATTGGAAAGAATATTCTGAATTGCAGAACTTGTTTAGATACAGGAAAACCAGTTGATCTTGATTCACTTTTCATGAGCTGAGCAGTCAGGAAAGCTTTCTGGATTAGAGTTTATGGAAAAGCACAGACTTGAGGTGCTTTTGACTTGACCTAAAAATAATTCGCATGTATTTTTTTCCATATCTTCTGTCTACTTAATAACTTCTCTGACCTATGAAAGAAAGTTTACACTTAAACCATAAATATTTCTAGTAAAATTCTATTCTGTCTCTTTCAAAGAATGATTATATTTACTTTCAGATGGATTGTCTTCTTAGGTGGTTATTTTGTGGATATTTTTTAGTAAAAGGAAAAACCTAAATACAAATTAAAGATTCCTTGATTTCGGGGCCAGTGGGTACAGTGGGTAGGGTGTTGACCTTGCACATGGCCAACCCGGGTTCAATCCCTGGCACCCCATATGGTCCCCCAAGCACTGCCAGGAGTAATTCCTGAGCGCAGAGCCAGGAGTAACCCCTGAGCATCTCTGGGTGTGACCCAAAAATAAAATAAAATAAAATAAATTGTTGGAAAAAAAAAGATTCCTCGATTCATTACTGAGAAAGGTTGGTATGGTTTGGTTTGGTTTTATTTTGAGGCCATACCCTATCTTGCTCAAAGGTTACTCTTGTTTTCATACTTCGGTGCTCAGGGGACTGAATGGGATACTGGGGATTGAACCCAGCAAAGCAAATGCCTTATCCACTTACCATCATCACTCTGGCCTCTCATTACTGAGAAGGTTACTGAGAAGTTCACTCCAATGTGAAACAATTTTTGGTGTGAATTCTATTATTGTGAAAGTTACATTGTACACAACTTGTCAAGGTATAGTGTAGGAGAAACAGTCATCTCCTCTGGGCCAATTTCAACCTCCCCTGTATCACTCTCTGGAAACAACTGATCTGAACACTTAAATTAGTAATTTTAGATCTGATATTTATATTCATATTTCTCTTGTCAGAACAGGAGTGGTATGGGGGAATTTGCCAGGGGTGGAATTCAGTGCCTTGCACGTGTAGGACTTATGCTCTGCCACCTAAGCAACATCCTTGGCCTCCGTATTTCTCTCTGCGGTGACGAGGGTATGACCACTGTGATCCAGGGCCTCCGTGCGTGAGGCCATTGCTCTCACTCTCAACTATAGCCGCAGTCCTTATTTCTCTTTCATAGGCTGTTGGTTGCTCTTGATTTCTCATTATTTATTAACTTCTGAGAGAGGTGATAAATGTAGTTTTTCATTACTTCCTTTCCTAAGTCTTTTCTCTCCTTTCTATTTTCTTTTTTTGAGTAAAATTGCTATTTAATGTATATGCATTATGATGTATTACAAATTCTTGCGTTATGTCATGGTAGTGATTTTTATTGTATTGATTTATTTATTGGATAGCTTGTCTTTCTCAATATTAAAGTTTACTATATTTCTTTAGTTTGTTCCTTCTTATTTCTTTGGCTTTTGGACCACAGCTGTCAGTACTCAGGGCTTACTCTTGGCTCTACACTCAGGGATCATTCTGGTGGTCTTGAACCATAAAGGATGCTGGGGACCAAACCCAGGTCAGCTGCCTGTGAGGCAAGTGCTCTATTCACTGTACTATTGCTCCCATCCCTGTAGCACTGTAGCACTGTCCTCCCTTGTTCATTGATTTGCTCGAGCGGGCACCAGTAACGTCTTCATTGTGAGACTTGTTACTTTTTTTTTAATTAAAAAAATTTTAATTTTAGAGCAAATCGACGACTAACGGGAAGTTAAGTGATTAAGTGATTAAGTGATAGGAGTATTGCTTTTATCATTTTTAGCATATCAAATACCCCATGGGGAGCTTGCCAGGCTTGAGGGTGGGATACTCTCGGTAGCTTGCCAGGCTCTCTGAGAGGGGCAGATGAATCGAACCCAGGTCGGTCGCATGCAAGGCGAACTCCCTACCTGCTGTGCTATCGCTCCCATCCCTAAGTTAAGTATTGTGTGGTACCATTCCTTCTTGAAATCTCCCACAGTGTTGCTAGAATGGTCACTGTGAAGGTATTTTTTACCACTTCCATTCTGGGACTCTTGATTTGTGATGTGGTGACTTTGTCTTGGCTTTTTACCCCATTTTATTAGAGTAATTTCTTGAGTTAAAATACAAGAAAATTAAATTTTGACTCATTGCACATTTGAAAATGTCTTCTCCTCTGGTATTGGACAGTTCTCTTTGTTAGACTTTTTTTTTTGAGTGATTGGTTTTATTTATTTATTGCTGTTTTTGGTCACACCTGGCGATGCACAGGGGTTACTCCTGGCTCATGCACTCAGGAATCACTCCTGGTGGTGCTCCAGGGATCATATGGGATGCTGGGAATCGAACCTGGGTCGGCCGCATGCGAAGCAAACGCCCTACCTGCTATGCTCTTGCTCCAGTCCTTTTTGGTTAGACTCTTTAATTTAGGATCAGTTTTTCTTGGAGTTTTTATTTATCGTTTATTGACGTTCCTGTAAACTGAATCTAGGGCATCACACATGCAAGGCAAATACTGAGCTACCTTCCCAGCCCTCTTGGAAAATCTTAAAGGCGTTGCTGGTGGTCTTCTAGTTTCCAGGGTTCAAATCAGTAGGTCAGCCTGGAGGCTGGAAAGATAGTACCACAGGTAGAACATGGCCAACCTGATTCATTCCCCAGCACCCCATATTTTCCCACCAGCATCTCTAGAAGTGATCTCTCAGTGCAGAGCCAGCAGTAATCCCTGAGCACTGTCAGGTGTGGCACAGAAACCAAAAACCAAAAGAAAGGAAAGGAAAAAGCAGCCAAATTTCTTAAGACTGAGTTATTCTTATTTCTTTCCTTTTCCTTTAAAATAATTTTTTAAATTGAATCACAGTGAGATATAGTTATGAAGTTGTTCATGATTGAGATTCAGTCATATAATGTTCTAAAACCCATCCCTTCACCAGGGTGTATTTTTCACCACCTCGCCCCCCCAATTCCCTCTTGCCCCTGCCCCCCCCCCCCCCATGGCAGGTACTTCTTTCTCACTATTCTGATTTCTCATCTTTATATTTCACTCGCCTTTTTTTTTTTTTTGCTTACATGTTTGTTTTTCTGCTCCTTTCCAGTAGTTTTATGATTTTTTTTTCCAAGATGTTTTAGAATTTTGTAGTGATGCATACTTGGAATGCCTTAGTCTAGGTACTGTTCAGTATTTGGACATTAGATAGGCTTTTTCAGTCCGGGAGATTTTCTTGTGTTCTCTGATAATATCACCTTCTTTTCTCTCTCCTTTTTCAACAACCTCTGTTTGCTAAGTAAGTCATCTGCTGAATTGTCAGTTCTTATTTCTTATTTTCATCTTTTTGGATTTGCTGTACAATTTCCTCAGAATTGCTTATGTTTAAAATGTTTATCTCCAAGAGCTTTTTGTTTATGTTTAAAATGTTTATCTCCAAGAGCTTTTTTTAATCTCTCAGTTCATTGTTTGATTGCTAGCTTTCTGATAATGTGGATTTATTGTGATTTTGAAATTTTCTTCTGCTACTCTGCTACTTATGTCTGTTTCTGTCAAGTTCTTTTCCCTTTCCCCCCATTTGTTCATATACAAGGCTTTCCTCACCTTGTGATGCAAACCTCTGCAGCCGTAAAGGTCAGGCACTGAAATACTCCCTGCAAGCTCAGTGAACAGTCCCAGTTGCTGACTCACACGCTTTCTCCATGCTACCTGGGCCTTGGATGGAGTTTGGGAAAATGGCAGGTTCTGGGTAGAGGTTTTTTTCCTAGGCCATTACATTACTCAGACGAGGCTCTGAGCCCCTGCTTCGAAGGAGCTAAGCCTCCTAGAGAAAGAGCACATTGTGCAGGAGAGAAAGAAACCAACTCAGGGGTTGTAGTTGAAAGTCAGTGAGCCAAGCATTGAAAGGTTAATAAGTATCGCTTGTGGAAATTTTTGTTTGAGGTTTGTTGCTATAAAGCAAAGTGACTTCAGCCCGTGGTAAGAAACCCACCATGAAGAGTAGTAATAGGCTAATATTTATGGAGTGTTTACTTAGCTTGTGGTCTTGCATACGTTACTTAATCATCTACAACTTAATGAGGAAAGCATTATTATCTCCATGTGATAGATGAGAACAATGTGGCTTAGAGAAGTTACGTTAACTTTTCCAAAGATTGCATAGCAGCTGAGTGTGATAGAACATTGATTCAGACCCAGGTTTATTTGGCTTTGCAACTCATACTTGTAAGAATTATATATTACATTTTAAAAAACACCTGGTGACTTTGCAGTCTACTCACGTGTGATAGTGACTTGAATTTTGCATAATTAAAGAACTTTTTTTCATTGCTGATAAAGAAAAAAAATGTGTCCTATATTTTTTCTTAAAACTGTCTTTACTAGTAGATACATGGATTTAAGACCTTGGGCCAGAGTAATGGTACAGCAGGTGGCCCTTGCCATGCATGTGGGCCGACCCAGATTTGATCTCCTGCACACTGCATATGATTTCCTGACCGTCACACTAGGAGTGATCTCTAACAGCCAGGAGCAAGCCCTGCCTGAGAACCATGGGTGTGGCCCCAAAACAAAGCAAAAAAGTCCTTACTGTGACAAATGAAAAAAGTAGTATTTGAAGCAAGTACATTGGATCTAAACAGCTTCTATTTTTAAAGAGTTGGTTAGAGTATGGCTAAATATGTATGTTAACAGAAAAAAAAATAAAACTGGGGCTGGAGAGATAGTACAGCTGGTAGGATGCTTGCCTTGTATAAAACAACCTGGGTTCAATTGCTGGTATCTCATATGGTTTCTTGAGCCCCACCAGGTGTGGCCCCCAAACAACCGCCCCCCAGATATATAATTAAAATATATTTATTTAAAGAACTTAATACAGATATTTTTAATAGAACTTAAATGTATGTTGAAAGGCCTTAATTTGAGTACTAAAATACTTTCATATATTAAAAAGTTCCATTTGACTAAAAATTGGGTTTAAGAGTCAGAAAATATTTTTTGTGTTCTTTACAAAAAATGTTTCTGAAATCTAAATGTGGACACTTGGGGCTGGAGTGATAGCACATTGGGTAGGACATTTGCCTTGCATGCTGCCGACCCGGGTTCGGTTCCCAGCATCCCATATAGTCCCTTGAGCACCGCCAGGGATAATTCCTGAGTGCAGAGCCAAGAGTTACCCCTGAGCATCGCCGGGTGTGACCCAAAAATTAAAATAAATAAATAAATGTGGACACTTTAGAGCCAGTTACAATATATTGGCTGTCACTGAGTTGTGTGACCTTGAATAAGGTAACCTTCTTGAGCTTTGTTTTCTTTTTTTGCAAGTAGGGAGTGCCAGTTTTTATGGTAGCTAACAACTTTAATTAGAACAAAATCAGTGCTTATAGGAGAGGAAGCTAGTGAATTGGAAACCCTTTCACAGTAGCTGTTGGTGCTTGAGAGCTTGAGTTTTGTCTAGGATCTCTCCTAAAGAGTGGAGGTTACCATACATGCAGTCAGTAGGCTGGGATTCCGGCATTTTGATTCATTTATCTTATTTGTTCAGCTTTGATATATTCAAAGTTATATTTTAAACCTCACTTTAATAACATTATCAGGTTATTAAATAATAGTAACAATAATAACTACAATAATCATGACGTGAGATATAGCAATTTTCATACATTTTCTTTTTCTGAATTATTTTTTGATAATTATGTTTACCATTTTGATATAACAGACAATATAAAATAAAATATTTTGGGGGGCTGGAGCGATAGCACAGCGGGTAGGGCGTTTGCCTTGCACGCGGCCGACCCGGGTTCGATTCCCAGCATCCCATATGGTCCCCCGAGCACCGCCAGGAGTAATTCCTGAGTGCATGAACCAGGAGTAACTCTGTGCATCACCGGGTGTGATCCAAAAAGAAAAAAAGAAAAAAATATTTTGTGCCTGCTAATGGGGAGTTTGGTGGGTAGGTGGGAACTTGGGGCCAATGGTGTTGGGAAGGGCACACAGGGGCTGGATGGGTTTGGTGTTGAAACATTCACTGACTTTGTAAACCACGCTATTTAAATAAAGGAAAATAAATAAAAAGCAGTTAAATGACAATTTAAAAAACCCCTTTTAAACCTTAAAAAATCCACACTGCTAGACTGGAGAGATACTATAGTGGCAGGACACTTGCCTTGTCCGGATTGATCCCTGGTGCCCAGAGCATGAGCCAGGAGTAAGCCCCGAGGACACCTGGATTTGGTCTAAAAGAAAAAAGAAAAATTCAAAGTACTTGTTAGTAGATTGGAAAGTGTTTAAGATTGGTTTTCTGATTTGAAAGGCAGCAAGTATGTGAGTATAAATTATCTTAAGTCAGAGTAAGAGACTTTACCCAAGTGTAGGTTTCTTGTTTTTGGCTGTGCTGGGTCTAGAACATGCATGCGATGGCATGTGCGTGCCACTGGCCCGTGCCCCTGGCCTCGCATGGGTACTGGCATAGAGAGAGGTAAACTTTCTATTTTCTATTTGTCAGACTGGTTTGGTGAATGAATCTGAACATTTGCTTAGGCTAAAGTGTAATTGAAGTGAAAGTGCTTTCTTTCAAAACCGTGCCCCAAAGTATTTGTATTTGGTGAGCAGTTACAGCATTATGCAAATCTGGGACATTGAGTCTAAAAATAATCTTGAAACACAAGCTTGAGTTTCTGTGTGTTCACTGATGATGCCTTAAATAACATGTACATTCAGGAAGGAAACAAGCAGTAAGGTGTAATTTTATGTTCTTTCCTTGCAGTGGGTAATTCCAGAATTGATTGGTCATACGCTCGTTACTGTATTAATGCTCATCTCATTGCACTGGTTCATCTTCCTCCTCAATTTGCCTGTGGCCACCTGGAATGTATATCGGTGAGTATAGTCCAATTGCTATTTTGTTGCAGGCAGGTTAATTTATTTCAGCTTCTTTTTTTAGAATATGTTTTTAAAAATTAATTTATGTTGTGGTTTTCGGGCCATATCTAGCAATGCTCAGGGCTTACTCCTGGGTTTGTGCTCAGCATTCACTCCTGGTAGGGCTTGGGGGGACCAACTGGGCTGTCAGGGATCAAACCCAGGTCAGCCGTGTGCAAGTACTGGGAAACACACGCTACATTTCATCACTGTGTGATCCCATACAGACTTTTATTTTTTAATGTTAAGGAGCGATAGCACAGCAGGTAGGGCGTCTGCCTTGCACGCGGCCAACATGGCCGACCCGAGTTCGATTCCTCTACCCCTCTCGGAGAGCCCGGCAAGCTACCGAGAGTATTCGATATGCCAGACACAGTAACAACAAAGTCTCCAATGGAGACGTTACTGGGCCCGCTCGAGCAAATCGACGATCAACGGGAGGGCCTTTACCTTTTACCTTTTATTTTTTCCTACACAGACTTTTAGCAGAGCTCAGAATCTTTGTGACCCCACTGAGTGAACCCAAGTTTGGGAGTGAGAGTGGGGCCCTCTGAGACAGTGCATATTCCTGGGCACTGTCCAGCATCGTCCTTGAGATGAGTCTGTGAGAAAAGCAGGCTTTGTAGGACAGTCCAAACTGTGATGGAAGGGCTCTGTGCAGTTTTATGTGCAGGGCAATAAAGTCCATAGGCTGTTTCCTATAATCATAAAGACAAAGATCGGATGGCTTTATTGCTCTCATAGAACAGTATGCTTAATTGTCATATCAGATTGATGGTCAGCTGGTTACAAATTTACTTTCTATTCAAAAAGTTACAAAATGCAACTATAGAACATTTCCTCCTTTCACTGTACATCTTGGGGATTCAGGTGTGTGAAGTGGACTTTGGACTTTATCCACAGGACAAAGAGGAGAACATTGAATAACAAAAATATGCTTGTTAACGTAGAGGTGGACCAAGGTGGTGTGACAGATGCCAGGGGAGTAACTAAGCTTGGGTTACTTGGGACCAGTGACCTAGTCAAGGGGTAAGACACTTTTCTTACATGGTGCCAACCTAGGTCCAATCCCTGGCACTGCGTATTGTCTCCTAAGCACCACCAAGGGTTACTTCTGAGCACAACCAGGAATAGAATAAACCCTAAATACAGCCGGGTGTGGCCCAGCCCTACACTTCCCCCTAAAAACTAAACCAAACAACACCACCCTAGAACAACCTAAACAGACCCAAGATTACTACAGATTGGGACAATTCCAGGGGGTCGTAGTATCCAAGCCCCATGTAATGGATAAGCTTTGACAGAGATGAGTGGGGACAGAATTATTTAGGATGCATTTGATCTTTTAGGCTAGATGCCGTTTTGTGCTCATGTGGATTAGCAGGACTAATTGGATCAAGAAGGTTAGACACAAAACCTTCCTTTTTATGAAACGGAAGCCATTTCCTTTGACAGTGAACTTCCTCATAGAGATGTTGTGAAGGTGAAAGGAATAAGTTGCAGTAGTTAACATTTTCGTGTTGGGGGCAGATTTTGAGACTTGCTTGGGGTATTACTTGGGCATTTCTTCCAACTCTGAGCTTGGAAGTTGTTCCTGGTAGTACTCAGGCAGTGCTGGAGATTGATCCAGGCTTGGCCACAATAAAGAAGTTTTAAAGACTTGATAGAATTATTTTGGTTTCAGAGTCCCTTTACTTTTTTTTTTTTTTTTTGAGGTGGGGGGGAATCACACCCAGCGATGCTCAGGGGTTACTCCTGGCTCTGCGCTCAGGAATTACTCCTGGCAGTGCTTGGGGGACCATATGGGATGCCAGGGATTGAACCCGGGTTGGCGATGTGCAAGGCAAACACCCTACCCATTGTACTATTGCTCCAGCCCCTTTACTTGGATCATTAGGTGTGGCACATTTCGTAATTTTCTACAGATCAGGAGTGTAGGGGTCTGTAAAATGCAAAAAGTATCCTTCTGGGGATTGGAGAGATAGTTCAGTGGGCTTGAGCACAAGCTTTGCATGTGATTAAATCATTTCTGTCCCCGGCACCACATATGGTCCGCACACACTGCCAAGAATGTCCTTTGAACACTGAGCCAGGAGTAGCCTTGAATACCATTGGGTATTACTGTATTTGTTTCAGAGGATAGAAAACTTACACTAAAACTAATGATTGGGTCCAGAGCAATAATATAGTGGGTGGTCGGTCTGGTTTCAATCCCTGGTATTCCATATGGTCCCTCAAACACCACTAGGAGTAATTTCTGTTGAGTGTAGAGCCCGAGTAACCCCTGAGCATTGCCGGGTATGGCCCAACCTTCACCCTCAAAAATATTGGTGTTATATATCTTCCAAAGGAAAAGTGGTCACCCATGATGTCTTCATAATCCTCTGCCATATTTGATCTGAATTTAAAACTACAATGGTTGGTTCACCTGAAAATATTGTTTATTGTATATTTTTGCACGTGCTCATAATTTGACTTTTCTTCTAGTGTATATGCATCCTCTATCTTTCAGGTTCATTATGGTACCAAGTGGTAACATGGGAGTATTTGATCCAACAGAAATACACAATCGAGGGCAGTTGAAGTCACACATGAAAGAAGCCATGATCAAGCTCGGTTTCCACTTGCTCTGTTTTTTCATGTATCTGTACAGGTGAGTGTCTGATCTCCTGGCATTTTCAGGATCTTATTTCAGCTTTTGACAGGTGAGGTATTATTGCCCTGTGTAGGATATTGTATTGACATTGCAGAGCATTTGGGGATTATGTGAATTTCTTAATACTACGTAGATTTTTCTGGTATGTCATTGTGTCTAACCTATAGTAGAATATTTCTGTGGTATTAATTATTCCATACCTGTTGGAGATATTAGCATGCTTACCATTGTCTTTTGCTATCATTACTATTATTATTATTATTTATTACTATTATTATTATTATTTGTTTGTTTGGGGGCCATATCTGGTGTTCAGGGATTACTCCTAGCTCTGCACTCAGGAATGAGCCCTAGTGGTGCCAGTAATCCAGCCTGGGTCAGCTGCGTGCAAGTACCATCTGTACTGTCTCTCTGACTTCCATATTTGCTATTCTTTTTTCTCCTTTAGAGACTAGCTAGGAGACCTTATTGATTGATTTTTTCTTTTTTTTGCCACACCAATAGTGCTCAGGGCTTTCTCCTGACTGTGTTTAGGGATTACTCCTGGTGGGGCTCTGGGGGCCATATTGGGTGCTGGGGATTAAACCCAGGCTGGGTTTGCCACATGCAAGGCAAATGCCCTGCCTGCTGTACTATTGCTCTAGCCTGATTAGCTCCTATCATTAATTTTTTGTATGCACTGAATATATTTACTATTCTGAGTATAGTTAGTAGAGTTAAACTTGGACAACTAATATGTAATTAACAGGTATTTCGGGGCTGGAGCGATAGCACAGCGGTAGGGCGTTTGCCTTGCACGCAGCCAACATGGCCGACCCGAGTTAGATTCCTCCGCCCCTCTTGGAGAGCCCGGCAAGCTACCGAGAGTATCTCGCCCGCACAAGAGAGCCTGGCAAGCTCCTGGCAAGCTCCCCGTGATGCATTCGATATGCCAGACACAGTAACAACAAAGTCTCCAATGGAGACGTTACTGGGCCGGCTCAAGCAAATCGATAAACAATGGGAGGGCCTTTACCTTTACTTTACAGGTATTTCAGTATATTTTAAGTCATTTGATCTTAGCTGAAAAAGCTGATTTCAATAAAGGGAAATGATAGTTTTGCTACTTTTTGTTTGTTTGTGACCACACCAGGTGCTACAGGGGGAGCTTGAGGGTTGCTCTCAGGCATAGATCCTGACCCCGGGGGGTGGGTGGGGAAGTGGGGGGGTGCAGGTGGTTTTGGGGGGTTGAGTCCAGGTCTGCCATAAGTAAACCATATCTCCAGCCCCTCTTGAACCTTGTTACTATTGTGTGATAATCATGACACTATGGAAAATGTTAACTATGGTTTTAGCAGTTTTTATTTTTTATTTATTTGTTTATTTTTTCTTTTTGGAACATACCCGGCAATGCACAGGGGTTACTCCTGGCTCATGCACTGAGGAATTATTCTTGGCGGTGCTTGGGGGACCATATGGGATGCTGGAAATCGAACCTGGGTTGGCCACGTTCAAAGCAAACTCCCTGCCTGCTGTACTGTTATTCCAGCCCTGAGCAGTTTTTATTGAGTAGCTGCTATGTGTCACATACTGTGTCAACAACTGCAAGTGGGATACAAGAGCAGCACAAAATCTCTCTGGGCTGGGATTGGCGATATCTGGGTATCTGGGACATGATGCCTGGGTTCTATTCTTGACTCGGAAGAGCTCAGTTGACTGGTGGAGCCTAATATGTAAGTGAAGGCACGCAGGAAGATGATCAGCTGTAGAAAGGGAAAGTTTGCTTGTCCATGGCTGGGAGGCCACTTTCCCCAAGAGCGGCTCAGTACCAGAGCAGGACTTTACTGAGTGAATGTAATGGGATGAAGAGGAGGGTTCAGGCATGGCAGTAGTGTATGCAAAGGTCTGGCCTAGAGAAAGTGCTTTTATGTACGTAGCTTACTTTTTTTGAACCGTATTCTAATACTAGATTTTGGTGGTGGGCATGGGGTGGGCTTGGAGGAGTTCCCACACAATGCTCAGGAGGCTCAGTGGCTCCTCTCAGTATTGCTGAGGATTGCTGGGACCACCCCAGCAATGCTTGGGGGCCTCCAGTGATGCTCAGACCTTGCATGGGCGACCGTGTGGTGCTGGGAATGGATCTGGGGTCAGTCACCCGTAGGACATGCACTGTACCTCTGTAAGGTCTCTCCAGCCCACCACTAGTTTTTGTTTTATGACCATACCCTGCAGTGCTCAGGGACTGCCCCAGCTTGGTGTTTGGGGGGTTTGCACCTGGCTGTGCTTAGGGGACCTTGCAATGCTGGGAATCGAAGTGGGCCTCCTGCATGCAAAGCATGTGATCAGCACATTGAGCTCACTTTCTGGTCCCCTCTCCCAATAACTAGTCTATTAGACTCTTCTACTCCTATTTCAGTTACTTTCCTTCCATTTTTATCTAGGTACTGTGGTTTGCAATACTGTAAATGAGATGTTGGAGTGATAGTACAGTCGGTGGGTGTTAGCCTTGCATGTGGCCTACCTGGGTTCTAACTCTGGCACTTTATATGGTCCCCTGAGCCCACCAGGAGTAATTCTTAAGTGCAGAGCCAGGAATAACCCCTGAGTGGTTATACGAAACTGAAAAAAAATTACTGTAAGTGATAGTTTTCATGCATTCGTGGTTCTAGTACCTTCTACCACAGTGTAAACACTGGTAGGAAGGACCTCAGATCTCAAGGACCTCACCCATCTTTTTCCCACCCTAACTTCTACCTAAATAAGCTCAGTTCTGTAGACTTTTCTTATTGGTGATAATGGTGGAGGGGTTGGGCCACACCCAGTGGTGCTCACATCTTACTCCTGGCTCTGTGCTCAGGGATCACTTCTGGCAGGCTTGGGGGACCATATGGGGTGCTAGGTCTCGAACCCGAGTAATTCATGTGCAAGGGAAGCGCTCTACCTTTCATACTAGAGCTCTGGCCCAAGTTCTGTAGACTTTTTCTCCATTTCTGTTGCTATTCGTCATTTGTTGCTCTCTGTGTTTCTCTAAATCTTTTTTTTTTTAATTAAAAAAAATGAGGGCATAAGAGGTTGATAGCTGTAAATGGTTGCTTGCATAAATGGGTTGTTGTTAAACCATGTTCTTTGTTGCGCCTTAGGGATACTAGTCTGGACAGACCAGAAGCTGGTGGGACAGTCCTCTGGAAACCTGAGTAACATTATTTCCTTCTCTCCACAGTATGATTTTAGCTTTGATAAATGACTGAAGCTGGAGTTGCCGTGGTAGATGCCAGCCTACACTACACTGCAAAGTTGAGGAGCCGGAGACTACTTAAATCACCCTTAGAACCGTGACCATAGCAGTATATTTTTTCCTATTTGAACCAAAAAACAAAAACAAAAAAAACAAAAAAACCCAAAATCCACAAACCTATTTTTGCTGTATTTTTACCATATAAAGTATTTAAAAAACATGAATTGAGTTTTTGTAGATTTCTGGTTCTCAGCCTCTGCCTGCAGCCCATCATGTGAAGGCGTTTCCCATCCTCTGTTGTTTGAAGATGTGTATTTGAGGACAGCCCTGCCTGGAGCCTGTTAGGCCATAGAAGGAGGGACAGGCTGGAGAGGGAGGCTGGGCGGGCTGAGAAGCCAGAGGGAGAGCAGCACTGCTGATCTCGGTAGAAGGCCACGAGCAAATTACCCTTTTTCTTACATTGTGGCAGCCTCAGATGTTTCTTGTAGTTTAAAGATCGATGGTACTATCAACTGAAAGTCTTCCTAAGAATATTAACAGAAAATTGCACTTCCAAAAAAAAATCATTTCTTTGCACAGTTTGTAACCTTGTAAGTCATTTGTCAATGTACAGTGTAATTTTAATTGCTAGAAGAAAAGCCCAAAAAGCAAAATTTTAAAGAACTCTCGGGAAAAAGTCACACCCTCCACAGTCACTCTCAGCCCCTTCCACTCCCAGGGGCTCTTGTGGGCCTTGGTTTTCTATTCTAAGTGAGCCCATTGCACTTTCTCTTTTGGATACATACTTGAATGGGGTATCCAGATGTAGAGAAGATGCTCATCAGAATAGAAGCAAGCCTGGGCTGGGGGTGTGGCTCAGTGCAGAGGAGTTGCCTTGTGTGTGTGAGGCTCTGACTTTGATCTCAGCGCTACCAACAAAACAGTGCCCACACTGGCCGGTCATTCGGTGTCAGTGGATTGGGCCCGAGCACTCTGCTTCGTGCCAGGTATGGCACACTGCGGGGGCTGCTGCACTCAGAGGTCCCGTACAGAAGCCACTTCATAAACGTAGCAATACTTAAGGAGACACGGGTCCTCGGAGCTGTCTCTGTAAACTCTTGCAGTTGAGAACAGCTAATGTCCTTCTCTCTTTGCTGGGTCAAGTGAACCTGGCCGTTGAGTTTACTCCCAGTGCACGTTCATGCTTTTCCTAATGTTGCTGTCTTAAGCATGGGCATTTATGCCCAATATAAATGTGCTTGAGAGTAGAGGGCAAAAGGAATTATTCACTGTCCTGAGACAGAATTGGGTGGCTAACCTGGTTTATAGTCACCAGATGATCAAATGTTGCATGTCCTTGTCACGAAAGAAAAATTCATGTAGTTGACGGCGCGTCAGATTTTCAGTTTATATATTGTCAGGTATCCGGTGCGGAAGCTGAACAGATCTGAAAGGGGCTTTTTCAATAACAGCAGACAGGAGCCATTTATTTCTGTCTTAAACGTTAACTGTGGTTGAAATCAAAACCTCCTTTCTATAGTGCGCATCTGTATCAAAGCCCTGGAGGTGTTAACTCTTTTTGATTTCATGTAAAAATTTTCATTTTAAATTTACGCTGGTGTAGTGGACTGGGAGTCTGCACTGCCACCCAAGTCACATCCCCAGCTCCTCGGTGGGTTTGTTGTGTTAGTGTGTGGGAAATAGCACTGGAGTTACTGGGCACAGAGCCCGCATCAGAGCGTGCTCGCCAGCCCTGGGAGCCATCGCCTTGGCCCCTTTATTTTTCAGTTGTTTTGGGGCCGGGGTTGAACACCTCAGACATGCAAACCATGTGCTCTATCCCTAAGCTACATCTTTGACCCCAGGGTTTTTTATTTTTCTTAGGGACTCCTAAAATAATGGAAAGCACTGATCTAAAAGCTGTGGTTAAGGTGCTAATGATTTGTTTTCTGTGCTTTTCATTGATGGAAAGAACCTTAGAGATCATTTGGTCCATCTTCTTTACCCCCCCTTTTTTTTTGGATCCGGGTGGATTTGGGCCACATGTGGTGGTGCTCAGGGCTTACTCCTGGCTCTGCCCAGGGTCACTCCTGGCATGCCTCGGGTTACCATATATGGCGTCAGGGATCCAACCTGGGTCAGCCACATGCAAGGCTAGCAGTGTAGCAGTGCCTTACCCACTACTATCTCTCTGGCCCCCGAATTCTTTCACCTTGAAGATAAAAAACAGATTCCTAGAACCTAGAATTTGCTTCCGGAATCCTAACGGTCAGTTCAGTTATCTCTCCTATATCATTGCTTTGCCCTGATGTTCTCTGATGGCAATATCTAGTGCCCTACCAGTGTAGGCTGTTACAGGTGCTCCTGCGTGCACAGTATTTTTATCTATGTGTTTGGTCATGCTCCCCTGTCCTTTTCCCCATCTTTTCTCTGGTAACAGGTGTCCTTGCCAATGATTGGCATCTCAGGTCAGAATGCTGAGGATGCCACAGCTAAGATAACTCACCTTATCAAAGTCTGCTAGGGCCCTTCAGCCATCTTTTTATGCCACACCAATGCCAATCCAAGGGTCCAGATAAACTTCCTCTGGCCTGGCCTGATTTTGAAGTTGAGAACCCAAGATTATTTCCCATGGAACTTTGTCTTTTGTGGCACTTAACACTTTCTATCTGGAATGGACAGTTAACTTGTATGCACTGCATCTCTCTGACTAGATTGTACGCTCCTAGAGGGCAGAAGACACATTCGCCTCTGTATGTCTTCCTACTACTTCTGGCACCTAACTCAGTACCCTGAATACAAAAACAATAAATAATCTGAGTGAACAAGTAACTCTGATTGTGTGGTTCTGCTGCTCTGGCCACAAGAAATCGGATAGATGTCCCCTGTGTCAGTGAAGCAGCATTGGTCAACGTTTTCAAAGCCCACCTGTTGTTTGCAAGACATGGTGAAATGTTTTAAGACACGCCGAGCTAGGAAACTTGCTGTATTTGGCACACATGAGACTTGTGAAAGCGAATTTTCTCACGCCTTTTGTCAGAAAAAATGTGAAAGGTACTATATATTAAGTGTAATTGTCCACAAATGTCAACAAACTTGTTCTGATATATAGAAATAGGCCACAAGATAGAGAAGTTGAGTTTAGAAATTTTATATTCAGAAAATTCTCTAGATTTCTGACACGAGTTTACTTTTAACCAAATGTACTATTTTACTATGTAGTATAACAAATATTCGTGGTGTACTGAAACTTCAATTAACAAGGCTGTTGGATGAATGAATGGGTTGTTCTGAGGGATTGTCGGTGAAGCCTTTTGCTTTTAAGCCATATTCTCTGTGAAAATGCTAAAAAATAGTCAATTTTCCCCCTTTAATTATGTATAATCTAATGACAGGCTCATTCAAAGCCTACAGGTTATCATTGTGAACTGGGGCCATCACAGTAATAGGAATATAGATATTAAAAGGATTATTCACTGAGCTAACTTGGGACTTGAGGTCAAGTTGCTCTTGAGAATAAATTCCTTTATAAGAACTGTGTGTTTTCAGTTGCTTCTCTCCGAAACTGGGTGGGGGAGAGGGAGGTGGCAGATGCGTGGAACCAACTAGCTGAATGCAAGGAAGTTCAAATGTGGCTTCCTCTGCTGTGAATTTGGTTTGCTACATCCGTTATGAGGCAATCTTGGTTTCGTCTGTACAGTTCCCATTAAACATGATGATCTAGTTAAAATAGTTTAACATATATCTCAATTCCTGTTCTTTGGTGGAGCATCTTGTGTGTGGCCAGGGCCTGGTAAGGTTCTTAAACACCATTATTACACACTTACTCTTATTTGCACAGATCAGTTCACTCAAATTGATAATCTCAGAATGAAAGGCATCATGGAATCAAGTTAGACAGAAACAAATTTCCTTCTGGGGCCTCTACTTTAAAAAAAAATTGTGGGGCCTGGGCAGTAGTTCAGCAGGTAGGGTGCTTGCCTTGCATGTGACCAACCCAGGTTTGATCCCCCGCCACCACATATGGTGCCCCTGAGCACTGCCAGGACTAATTCCTGAGTGCAAAACCATTACCTGAGTGCTAACCCTTGAGCATCCCTAGGCGTGGCCCAAAACAAAAATTGTTGTGGGGGATTGGGGACAGGGAAATGTGGACAGGCCACTCCAGCCCTTGCTGGACAGAAGTACAGGTGGGAGTGGACAGGGAGGCCCATGCGCTGTGGTGTCAGAGCAGGGACTTAACACTCAGTGCCTCACAGCCGCAAGGCCTGTGCTCTCTTTTGAGCCACACTCCTGCCTCAGGGCCTGATCTTATCGTTTAGTTTCAGCAAAAGCCTATTTCACAGATTGGATGGTGAAGTGAGTAAGGGTTGAAGCTGTTGGCTCGACAGTTTGGCTCTTCTGTATCCCCAGACGGGAAAGCAGCCTGCAGGGCAAAGCAGACCCTCTGGGGCCACTGTGTGATACTCACCTCTGAAGCTGCGAGAACTAATCCAAGTTACTTGGTAATTTCCTTTGTTACCAGCTTCAGTAATCAAACACATGGCCTTTTTTGGGGGTAGGGGGCAACTTTAAAAGTTTTTTCCTAACCTACTACCTTATCTTCCTCTCTGTTTTGAAGCAAATGCCAGGAATCAATACATTTGTGATTCCTTTTTAGTTTTTTTTTCTGTTTGTTTTTTGCAATGCTCAGGGTTTACTCCTGGCACTGCATTCAGGAATTACTCCTGGCGGTGCTTTGGGGACCATATGGGATGCTGGGAATCGAACCCGGGTCGGTCATGTTTAAGGCAAATGCCCTACCCACTGTACTATCGCACCAGCCCCCAATTTTTAAAAAAAATTTGATTAGTGACACACCATGAGGTACAGTTGTAGACTTACAATTTTTTGTGCTTGGGTTTCAATTATACAATGATTGAGTACCCATCCCTCCACCAGTGCCCATTCTCCACCTCCAGTGCTCCCAGCATTCCTCCCACCCACCCCCATCCCCCATCCCATCCCACCCCTGTGGCAGGGCCCCTTTTGTTTTCTCTCTCCTTTTGATTGCAGCAGCCCCAAATTTGTGATTTTTTGAACCAATCACTGGTGGGGTCCCCACTGACCCCCCCTTTCCCCCATAGGGGGTAAGTGGGGTGAGTATGCACAGTGGTGCTCAGGGATCATATGCAGTGCTAGAGGTGTAACGGGTGGAACTAGAGCAACACAAGTGCCTTACTTCTGTGCTCTCTCTAAAAA